TTATCAATCTGTAATAAAAGACGTGAGGAAATTCTGTCTTTTTTAAAGACAAAAATGTTTGAGGCGAAATACCCAAAAAGAAGTTTGTAAAAAATGAATCCGCCTCAACAATATAGAACTTATCTAGTTTGATGAATGCTGAAAATCTCTGTCTGTTGCAATCCTAATGTTCCGCCCATGCTTCCGATTGTTGTTGTCCTAGTGTGTGTGTATTTTGTGTTCCGAAGTAACACAAAATCATTATAATATTAATAATGAATAACTGGAGCTATTATTAAGGCAGAACACAATGTGGTTGTAATCGGGCATTGTATTTTGATTTGGACCTCTTGTAATTTCTATTCTTACCGTTTCGGAGCCAACTTATTAGCCGGAATATACGGAGGATGTTGAATACGATTAACTATCTGCGACGCAGCTAATTTCAATAGATTTTTGGTGCTGGCTGCATGTCTGAGGCAATTTTAGGCTGTGTCGGTTGCAGTCGCGGCACTCCCTTAATGTTGAAATCTAATTATCGCAACGAATTTCGTTGCCCAACATGCGATAATGATGAAATTCAATGCTGCTCCTGCTGCACTTCCTGCAACTTCCTCAATTTTTTTTTTGTTTCAGGCTAGCAGATCGATAGCGCGCAGCGGGTATCTCTTCGTGGCTCCTGACTGGGATTTTTCAGTGCCACTAAATAGGACAAAGGTAAGTTCAAATTTTCCCCTTTTTTCGACTTCAATTAGCTGCTGGAATGTTGACTTTAACTGCTTTTGCAAATATTTCTATTTCTTATTTTTTGATATGCGCTTTAACAAACTGCGCGGATTCTTTTAGCGCCGTTTGCCATTTTGAAAATGTTAGTTTTCCAAAGTAATTCAGTCTGATTCGCCATTTTTCGGCTCATCGGACTCTTCCTAAATTTCAAAAGTCATTTGATTGGTTTTTCGAACTGTTAACTTTATGAGTTCTTTTAGGAACAACCGGCTGCCCAAAAGCTTTAACATCTTTCCAAGGAAAGAATACGTATAATGAAAAGACATTCTTCCTGCCTAAGGAAGACTTTTTTCCGCGATAGTCTGAAAGCCCTGAAAAGTCGCCAGTTTCGCCTTGATTATGTTTTTTTGTACATTTCCCCGACGACCGAAAAGCGCCTGAATCTCTCAGGTTTTATGCAACTTTCGATAGAAATTGGCGATTTTTTCCAGTTTTGACGCCGTCGAAAAACTCATCAGTTTCATGCAATGGCCGCATAAGTTTGACTATTTTAACGACACTTAAATCTGCGAAATTTAATTAAGTGCGTCTTTCCCATTTTCCTTGTCGTCATTCTACTGATGCGAGAAAATTCGCATTCTCAATCCCATCAGAGGATTCTGGCGAAGCCAACAAATCTTCAAACAAGTAACACAATCAACGATTTTTTCTTTGATTTGTCTGCAAATTTGCTAGAAAGCTGCAACAATACGCCCCATTCAATCGGATAAACGATGAATATTTGCAGAAACAAAACCAAACTCCTAGATAAGAATCCGATGAGAACTAGGATAATTATCATGAGAACCACTTTCAAGCGATATTTTTTTCTGCAACAAATTAATACGCATTTCAGGCATCGATGGAGTCGTTTTTCTCCGGGCATATGAGCTTTAACTAGTTCTCAGCACATCCTGTAAGGCTGGGATTCGAGTTTTTCCATGTGTTTGTTGTGCTGCAAAATGGGGCTTTTCTCATTTTTGTCAACCAATTTCGCTGGCTTGTGATGGTAAATATCGCTTGTATTCAATGATAAAAGCTAGTTAATCCGCATAATCCGAGTCAATGGCACATGTTTGCTTTGCCGCTAAACGACTTTCTCACCGGCTGAAAACATTGCGATAATTTACGAGTCCAAGTGATGTTGCATAAAGTTGATGTTGTCAGTAATCTAAATTGTGCCAGTTGTGCCTATCGGGCGGCTGAAGAAAACGAAGAAGTACTTTCAAGCATTGTAATGCAAACGACCTTTCTTCGACACTCCTCAGCCTATCATCAGACTAATATGTACGTACTCGCATATGGTAGAAAATGTGCATTGTTGTGCCGATTGTTCAGCCGAGATACTCGATGTGGGTCAAGATATCCATAATATATACTTTATCTGATACGGGCATATTTAGCAAGTAGTTATCGGTTTTTTTACGATTTTTGGGCTTGTCTAACACGGCACAACATGACGTATGCAAAACGTATTTACAACGCCAGAGATCTGATCTCTATGTAGTTACCAGTACTGTTATGTTCGCATTGTTTAGAATATCCTCCCTCCAAGTATCCAAGCCACTGATTTTCGCACCCTCACAGTCGAACCAGAAATACAGTCATCAACATCATCATCATCATCATTATCATCATCGTATCCGAGCAACAACCGTTCGCTTTTGATTTATGTAAGTCCAGCAAGAGCTAAGCGGGAAACAGTTTTGTGCATGACCGTGAAAGATAAATAAAACGAAATATAACTGTGATGAGGAAGAAAGACGAAATATCGGCGAGGGAAAATCGATGTTGAATTATCATCATCGGTTAAGAATGGTGGGTAAGGAACGAATTTGCGAGGCGCGTGCCGCGAACCGATGGAAAAAATTTATAAACTGGTTGTTCTTTTTCAATTTACTTTCAAATCAAATTGGTTGCAAGATGGAATCCTTTTGGACTGATTTTATTTTGCTTTTATTGCAAGGGATACCAGTGGAAGTGCAAGATGTAGAGGATCGGTGTCTTGTGCTCTTCAACCCCAAACCGATTCTCAATATCTTTATTATTAAGATTGTTAACTTTTTAGAGTGTCCGAGATTTTATTTACCAATAATTGGCACGCCGAAAGCGAACATCCTGTATATAGCATCGATAATACGATTATGGCTTCGTTTTCGTTTTTTCAAGTTTCTGGCCCGTTTTTAGGAGCATGGCATAGTAGGCTCATTTCTTCACTGCCCCATGCAACTGTAGTACAACCGCTAGGCCTATAAGCGGTAAATCGCCGGTTATACTTGCGAAACTTGGTTTTTGGGCAAAATTGATTTTTCACCAGAAGGCAAATGGGGTTTGACCCTCTTCCTCCAAAATGATTTCGCGTCCCACAAGGCCAAGACAGTCGATTTTCAGTTGAAAAACTTGCAATTTTTCCCATTGTTGTAGGTAGGTAATTTTCAAATTGCCCTGTGCCATCCCAATGTTAATTTGTCCAATTCGAAATGCAAAATTCCTGGACGTAGCGTTGTAATTTACACGCGGTTGCAGCGAATAACTAAGCGGTCGGTCGCACGAATTAAAATAAATGAAATGTAAATGTGCACTTTCAATTTCTGTCTTTTGTGGTACATGGGTATTTATTACATACCGTATCTGAGCGCTGGCGGTTTGAAAATATGCCCAGATGTATTAGAATGTTCATAATGGAACTGATGAGTTTGACGCTGATATACAGGGCGGCTCAGATACAAATCCTATTTAAAATGACTTTATATGTAAACTGGGTTTGATGACGCTTGTTGGTGCACGTTGATGGTGCATTATATTGGCAAGCTATGGATGGAACTGGACGTGAAATAAACATTGCAGGAGCATGGAGAAAAGCGGGAGAACCACTTGGTAGCACCCTGTAAAGAAATGAAATGCGTTAAAAAAGAAAACTAAACAACGCCACATAGCGACGTGTCATCTCATTTGCCAAGAAGACATTTTCAAAGGCTAGCGCGTACGTGTCTGTTGGTTGCGAGTCTTCTTGAATTTTTATTACTTACCGGTATATTATTTACTTAGAAATATTACGTTACTGGCCATGTGCATGACTGTGAATATTGTGAATTTTTATTATTTTGCCACGTCGAAGCGACCTGAACTGTTGTTCGTTTGTGTGGATTTGAGTGGAAAACATTTGCGAGGATTTCTGCCACTTTTCACCACTGATTGGGTGAAAGTAAAATCGACACAAATATAAAATTACTAGGGCATAAGCTAAAGAGTAAAACAACATTACTGGCCAGATTTACCTACGTGGTGATGCTCTAGTTGCTGCGGTTCTTTAAAAGGAATTGAAACATTAAATTAAAGGTTTTTTGCATTGTATTTGCGCTAATTTAACGCCCGTTATTCGGTCCGGTAATGAATGAACTGGCCTCTATTCGCTGCCATCTACTCATTAATTCATGTGTCTGATGCTCTAACACTCGATGAATGAGTGAACGCATCCACTTTAGTCATGTGCGTTTTTTCCCTATTAATTCCACTCGCCTATCGTGATTTCATCTAAAATCCTGCTATTATTGTGCCGCTAAAACTCCCCATTAATGAACTTTCTGCACTTGTATCAGATGTTAATCTTTTAAGAGTTGTCGTTGCGAGACGGTTCGGCATGATGACATTACAAAAATAAACCTAATTAGGTCACTGATGCTAAAAAGTAAATAGAATGAATATAACTCGCCGTCACGATCATTACGAGTATTGTTTTCCGATCATCGGAGTTTAATAGTAGCAATAGTGTTTTATAGGCCGAAAATCTGGAGCCAAAACCGAAAAAAAAAATTTAATCCTCTTCAAGGTTTCGAACTTACCGGAATTAAGTTTGGCTATTGTTTATCTCTAATAGGTAGCCTTTGTCTTAATTAGCATTATACACTGAGAAAACAGCTTAAATTCAACAGTGTTTTGGTTTCAAAATGGAAGATTGAACTGTTTTCTACCCTATAAAGAGATAGAAGTAAAGTTGTGAACATTTTAGGAGCAACAAGCTTAAAACAGCCTGCATCTCAGAAACGGTTGCGATTATCCGATCAGTCCTACAGATCTTTCTTATAGCCGGTCATTCACCAATTATGTTTACCAGAAATTTCTAACCTCTAAAAAGATAGATGCAAAAATAGTATAGCGTTAAGGCTTAAAACCGCTTTTCATGGGCCGCCCAAGTTTAAGACATTATATATCGGAAACGGTTAAAAATATTTGAATAACCATTAGGAGCTTTTCCTTTTTTTATTTTATATATTATAAGAAATTAATAACTTCTAAAAAGCTAGAAGGCAAAATGTATAATTTTGAGACGCCGCTAAAGTTTATGAGCGTATATCTCAAAAACGGTTAGAAATATTTCAGTATTCATTCGAACCTTTTTCAAAGAGCATATCAAGAACTGTCCTTTCTTATGAAGGCGTTGTGAGAAATTCCTAACCTTTAAAAAGCTAGCAGGAAAAAATCATAATTTTAAGACGCCGCGGCAGTTTATGAGCGTATATCTCAGAAATGGTTAGACTTATTTGAGTATTCATTAGAACCCTTTTAAAAGAGCATCTCAAGAACTGTCTTTTCTTGTGAACGCGTTATCAGAAATTACCTTTAACCTTTAAAACCTTTAAAAATCTAGAAGAAAAAATGTATAATTTTAAGTAGCCGCGGAAGTTTATGAGCGTATATTTCCGGAACGGTTAGAAATCTTTGAGTATTCATTAGAAGCTTTTTCAAAGAGCATCTCTGGAACTGTTTTTTTCTTTGCAGTTGTTTGGGAAAAGCTACAAGATAAAATATATAATTTAAAAACTCTGCGCAAGTTTCGGAGCAGATATCAGAAACGGTTAGAAAATTTTTAGAATTTATTAGACACTTTTTAAAAGAGGATCTCAAGAACTTTCTTGTCTTGTGAACGCATCATCAGAAATTCCCAACCTTTA